TAATGTAGTTTTAAAGTAAATGAGGTTGTTTCAATGAAATATAATGAGGAAGTTATGCTTTAGGGTTAACGTTAGCCAAACTTTAAAAGTTTTCAAAATTTTATAATTTTAGCCGTTGTTTGCTGAGTCATATCTCGAAAACTATTAGGCCTGTAATAACTATTTTGGTCTTAAACGATAGGTAATTTAATGTACTTTAAAAATGGTTATGGTTGTTCTTTATGAAAAAGTGATGCTTCAGGGTCAAAATCACACAAACGTAAAAATAGTGCGAAATTCCGCCGATTTTTAAGCTTTTTGGAGGTGATCCGGAAGGTCGCCGAGGTCGAAAATTTGGATTTAGCATCTCGGTAATATTACTAACAACATAAAAAAAAGAAACCTACTACCCCATTTCATGCAAGGTAGACCCTGCTTTTTATAACAAGGTTACTGGGTTAGCTTGCCTATTCACGATTTTCTTGCAAGCTGTGCATTTCCATTATGCTTTATACATATCTCGCGTTGATGCTATCATACTGCTGAGCTGATTGACATGAGCGAACTATTTTCAGTACAGTACATGGGTCGTGACACTGGAACTATTTGATGAATTTCTTTTAGCGAATTTTCCTATAGGGAAGTATTAGCGAATTTCCCTATAGGGAAGTAGCTATTACCGTAGGTGGCACGGTAAGACCTAGACCCGGGACCGATTTACTTTTTCATTTTGATGTCCAAAGAGGCCAAAAACACCATTCGTTCAAATTTTTATATATGTATATATATATATAGACTTATATATATATATATATATATATAAGGATTCATTCTTTGCTCTTATTGGTCTTGCCACAAATGGTGACAAGATATATATATATATATACGTCCGTGAACGCGATAACTTGAGTAATTTTTGTCCGATTTTGATGAAATTTGGTTTAAAGGTGTAAAGCGGGATAAACTTGAATGAGTTCGCGAACCAGCACGATCGGACCATGAGAACGGGGCTTTACGGGGGGTTTTATGGGGTAAAAATTGGTTTTTCTCACTTTTGACCCTCAAAACACAAAATTTCCCGATTTCTCTTTAGACCTTTTTAAAGAGCTTAAAAAAACAAATAATTTAGTATATAAAAGTATTTTTGTTCGATTATTAGTAACGGAGAAAATTAAAAAAAAATGTAAATTTAAAATTCCCATGTTATTCTTATGGAGAATATTGTCAAATGTTGTAGTTTGCTTGTTTATGGATATATTTTTATCAAACTTGGTAAATTTATTTATTTTGTACTAAGCTATCAATATTTTACTCAAAAACACACTTTATTAGTTTCCTTGTAGCAGCAAACCTAGGTACTCGTTAAACCTAATGTTATTAAAATGTATTTAACTGAAAATCAATTCAGACAAATGGAAATTCGCTTAGTCGGCAGGTTTGCTGCGGCGGGGGTATTTGATCCCACCGTATCCGTGGAGTTTATATTGTCAACTTGCTGATAATATGTTTGAAGAGGTGATCCCACAATATACCTTAACTTGATGGGTGGCATTCACTGCAATGGGCCTGCCAGCGAACCATCGGGCTAGGTCCACATCATTGATTCCCCTATCTCGGAAAAAGCTCTCTACAGTAAGATGTTGCTCTCATGAGCACTTACTTGTTCATAGGCCATGCTGCACGATCCATGACGTCACACTAGTGGATAGATTCACTGCCATATCCCCTATGTTTTTGGTAATTAGGCTGGTTGTTTGCCAGATTTCAATGGTAAGATTTTAAACTTGACAAGCATCTGATCTAGTCTTAACAATCAATAGCGGTTAAATGGTGATGCCGATCTTAATGATTTGGAAAACATTCTACGCAGACGTTTATGCTCTTCAAACTAACTACAGGAACATTTTTTCTATAGCATGCGTTAGAAGATGTAAGCCAAAAACTGAAAGATGAATACAGGAATAGATCGTATATAATGGGTGGTTGGGATGAATCCTAGAATTTTCGGAACCTCAGACAACAATATTAGACTTAAAATTACATAGGGGGTCTTACTCTCATCACACCTTATTAGATAAACCTCTAGATGACAATCATGGAATAAACCACTATCTAATAATTCATAATCCATTTAAAGACAGGATCTATGTTGTTACCAATTTTATTAGAATTTCCCAACTTTAACTTTAATATTTTTTTAAATGAAATGGCGTCCATACAAAGTAGGTAACAATCAATTGCCGTTATTGATTAATAAAAAAACATTATACGCAGAATTTTGTGTTTTCCAAACTAACTACAGGTGAATTTTTGTATAGCATGCGTCGTTTAGGAGTTGTAAGCCGAAAACTGGTCAATTAATCAACCTTTTGGCCATGTTGATGAAAATATCCCAACTTTGAAAAGCTACAGCGGCTAAACGGCTCGGCCGATTTTGACGTATTTACCATCAATCGACGCGGAATTTAAAGCACTAAAAGACACCTTTGAACTACATTTTCCTTAGGATTTGTTATTTAGGAGTTATAAGCGAAAAACTGAAAAAAGTGCAAAATTTTTATAGTTTTTCGACTCCCAAAACTTAAGCAGACGTCAGAATCCGTCGCAAACTCACAGGAGTCTTATTTGGGACCCCCAAAAGGTATTAAAACACTTTCCAGCTTTAGACGATTTTTTGGGGAGCACACCCTATTTGATCTAATTTGCCTGGACTACTAATATTCAAAACTTAAAATTACAGTATAAGAATACAAAAGAAAATCAAAACAAACTGAAAATCCAATCTACTCTATAATAGGACTTCAATGAAAAATGCATCAAAATTTAAAGAGTTTTATTTAATACCATACCTAATTATACTGTTGATACAATTTATATTGTCAAGACAATAAAGTATTTATTTATTTAATTCCTTATAGGAAATTAGGTTGCTAAAAGCAAACATAACCTAAATGACATTTACATATTTATATCTAAAAACAAAACGGTAATCTGAGTGTTGTTTTAAGTTAATTATGGTGGTAAGACAAAGCTTGTAATGTAAAGCACAAACAATCATTGTCGCTCTCAAATTTATGGCCACACAAAGCTACAAATAGCATACAAATAGCTAATAAAAAAATGTAAGGACTATTTTATCCTCTTGTGTCCTTATTCCCAAGATGATTTTATAAATTAATATAGTTTTAGGTTTTATGAATTTATTAAAAAAAAGGTAATATAGCATAAGGTATTATTTTGTTAGTAAGGTAGGATTCACATGGCATTATGTTGGCATTTGTCACTATCTTGTAAACATTGATATGACGAATAAACATTACATTTCATTACAACATTGTGATGTTTAGTTACACGCTTATATTAATTTTTTAAAGCTCTAAATTAATTTTGTGGTTTTTTATATAAAAATGAAAACACAATGAAAATAATAAATTTTTGAATTGATGCAATCAATTAATAAATTGGTATGGTAAATATTTTGTCAATTTTCATATCTAGAATTTTTTTATGAATTTACATTAGACAAAACATAATTATTCAACTTATTCAATCTAGCAATTTTTCCACTCACTTTATGTTTAGACAGCCCTGGGGAGAATAGTCTAGTCTACTCATCCCAGAACTGGTAAACATCTAGTAAAAAAATCTACATACAGTAGGAGTAGAGTCTACTCATAACTAACTGGGGATAACCCTGTTTGGATTAGCTGGAATTAGGGATAAGCAGATTTCTCTAATAATTTATCATCACAGTCGCTGGTTATGTTCTCAGTTTGGCCATGATTGAGGGAAACAATGATGATGTCTCTGCGATCATGGAAGATGTCCACGATTTCTCTATGGCTGCAAAATATGTTCTTTATTTCGAGGTGACTGTGGAAGAGATTCCCGATTTCAAGTTTTTTTAAAAATAATTTCACCCTGATCACACTGAGCTTTTGTTTTCGTAATCCCACAGAGCTCCTGCACTGATGCACGATCGATAATCTTGCCACGTTCATTGGAGATAATGATGTCCCTGTGACCAATGAATGATTTCTTGTTTATGCCAAGACTGCGGATGTTCTCCATTTCATGATAACTTCATACTAACGTCATAAAAATTAATATCTGAACTTTACTTTGGATTATGTTTATTTTTTTGAACAGTGAGGTTGGGAACAGTGGAACTCTATAACTGTTCCTTAATAAATTGATGAAACCAATAAGTATAAAATACTGTATTATTCGTTTATAAGTATACACATGAAATAAAATAAAAGTATATTTATCTACATTTTCGTGTTGTAAGACATAAATTAATTAGCTTTAACATAGTATTTTTTACTTTGGTAAAAACATATATATTATTTACCTCTACAGTACTCCATGTACAATCATCCAATTAAAAAAGGGGCTACCAGGATAACAATTTGTAACAGCCAAATGGAGGGTTAAATTATTGTCATAAGTAATAAATTTCCTGACATAATAAAACTGACCGTATCTAATACGATACCTTAATGATGAATTTCAATAAAATCATCAATTTTATGCAAAGAAATATAAGTTAAAAACTGTATCCCCTATGTACAGTTTTTTAAAACTAAAGTAGGTACTTCTATCCAGTCACTATACTATTACACAGACGTATTATTTTTCAATTGAAAATTTACAAATTTTATGTATTCATAATCAAACATTGTAATGTTTCATGTCACCCCATTCATTACTTAGTTACAATTTTATTTTCTGTGTTCAACAATGTATTTTGATAATACAGTAGGCTATTTAATACTTTATACTTTAATACTTTTCTTTGAAATGGCGACACTTACTTGTCTGTGTATTATTGTACTTTTCTTGTTATTTGAGTTTACATAAAGTGCTATTAATGCCCCATCACCCCTCAGAAAATCACCATACTTAAATAAAGTATTTATTATTGACCCATCGAAATCATAAATTGGGTAGTGGTTTATACAATTAAATAATTATGTAAAGCCTGATAGCAAAAAAAAAAAAAAAAAAAAAAAAAAAAAAACGAAAATCTTGAGCCTATTTCAGAAATAATAATAATAATGTCATCTGAGGTACAAAGATAGCTATTAACCTTCCTAGTTGTTACTCTCCAACTGTTAAAAAACTGTAAACACCTGTACTTATACAGAACAAGACATTTTGCTTCAAGGATATATTTCTTGCCGGAGCAAAATTGAATGCAAATAACTTAAATGACAATAACTTATTCCCTATTTTGGAAATTGGATAAAATTTAACATACAAAAATAGGTAACTTGCAAGGCACATGGTTGAATGTTGAACACATTGTCACGTTTTTAAATACGGTGTCAAAGAAGATTTTAATTGATACCTTATATCTACAAATCTGCATAAAATTATAAGCTTGCTCAATAAATTGGAATTATAGAGACCCATTGAGGTTAAGAATTATGTAATTAAAACCACTGATTTAGCCTAAAAATATTTTATGGGTACTACGTAAAATTCTCATACAAGCTTTTTAACCATACATCAGTTGATAGCTACCTACTTCGTGTTTCAACCACATTAGGTTAACAGTAATCGTGCATGAATTTGCTTGATGTAATTTGTAACAAGGACCAATTTAAATTAATTGACTGATCCAAGATTACAAAAGCTTCAACCATCTATAATCTAGTATTGAGAAAATCACCAATGAAATAGCTGTAGTTTTATGAATGTACTGTAGTTTTTATTGTTTGTATATTAAAATAAATCAACGTTTCTAGAGTAATTGATCGGCTAGCCGATTAATCAGACCATTTTGGCTAAGTCAAAGTAAATAGAACTGGCGGGTCACAGTCATGTTTTTAAATAGGCCAGCTGATATTATTAAAGCGCCAGTTCTATTTGAGTTGACTTAAGTCTTTTACTTGGTATAGACCTCAGTAGTAGAGTCTCTTTGCCATCTTTACCTGGTAAACTAGAGTGAGCAAGAAGAATCCTGCCAAGGGAATGTATTTGTTACGAGTTGGAGTTGCTGGCTGTGGTTTAATAAATAACATGTGCTATAGTTCTACAGCCACATTCAAATTCCTTACAGTATTTAAATCATTTCACAATATCGCAAAAATTGGCTAAACTTTACAATGCTTAAGTAGTTTTTTTATAAAATAATACCTACATACAATATATCATCCACAAGATGGGCAGGGTTTGTGGATAGGACATTTCAAGTGTGTCAAGATGAATCCTTGTTCGAATTGGTCTTAATATAATAACTGTTAGCAAAATCAACTCCTAATATAGAATATAGTACAAATCAATAATCTAAGAATCAATATCAAATCATATCTTAAGAATAACATAAACTATTTTAATAAAGAGGTAGTAATTCAGAAAAACTAAAGGTGTATTTAACTGGTCATTGACTATAAAAAATCATGAACTAAGTATCAACACAATATAGTAACTACAGTATACGAGTGTACCTGTTTTTCTATCATAGTTTTATGAGAATATTTTTCAAATTTGTTTTCTGACCCGTTTTCAAGCTAAATACAGATTACAGCCACAAAAGTAAATAATGTTGGCTGGTTGGATGCAGTAATTGAGCTTTTACAAAAACTTAAGTAGGAACAATGTGGCGGCCTAAGAAAAGAGGAGTGTTATACAATAGCTGAGTGATGTAAAATAGGAACGGGTGATCGGCAATAAACTCTTGATCTGGGGGTGGCTTTGTAGGCAGAGCTGTGAGCATCATAACCATCCCTGAAAAAATACATTAACATTTACAATGAGACAAACATGTTGTATACTCATCTGGTTTGAACAGGGTGTCCTGTGTGTGTCAAATCAAATGAAAGGGGGTGTTTTTTAAATCATGATTTGACAACTGATAGTATTTTACAGTACCGTAAGGTATGTGGCCTACTGTAGATATGGGATGAGAGTGACTAACCAAACCCATGTGAAATAAAGCGCAACATGATATTAAAACAATCACACAATGTTAAGACTAAATTTTGATTGAATAATAACAAGAAATTGTTATATGATTAATTGTACGTTCACTTTACATAAAAATACAACTTAAGTTTTTTACGAAGGATTAAGACCAATATTTGGGCTTAGAATTAACAATAAACCTCAGACAATACAAAAATATGTCCAAATATTAACATATCGTCCCATAATGAATGGGATCTTCTTTGCAGGGATACCATTACAATTTTGAAAATTTCAACATACAAAGACAGTTTTAGGTGGTAAGTGATATAACACAGTGTGTCTTGTTTTTTTTTCTCAGAACAAAAAATAACGTGCTAGCAATGCCTGGTATTTAATTCATTCATGCAATAGGTACCATGTATTGAAACACAACTACCATAAGGAAAATATAGGTGCAACCATGCAATGGTACTACAATGCACTACTCTAAGGACATGATAAGCTATTCAAGCAACAAAAGTACCCTACTAGTACTTCAACATGGTAATTTGGTAATATACTTTTTGTTATCTTTTCATTACATAATATCTGAACTGTATATCAACGGTAAAATGTTTTATAAAGGGTATAAGCTCATACTTCTGAAATCAAACACATCTTGAAGTCATAACAACTATTTTGTCCTTTTGTTTGTACATAGATGAAACACCTTCTATGTATGAAAGTGAAACTGTATTTTATTAATTTGTTTGATTTTATAATCAAGACAATAATAAAATAAAATATTGCTTTAATCAACCATATTTTATAAATGTTGCAACAAATAAATTTCAATGAGGGAAGATAAGACATGTTGCTACACACGCCAAACTTGTATTCCTAAATTGGTCTTATAAAATTGTCACTTGGGTTTGAGAAGACATTTCTCATTGTTATACAGAACAATGTTACAATTACATGTAACCATAATCATTGATAGAGTACAAAGTTATTATTATTACGATTTTATTTTACTTAGGAAATAATACAATGAATGAGAGCTCTGAGCTTGAGTACCGTGGGATGAAAACCACTAGTTAAACTATTGTACAGTGTCCCACCTCCTTCTGAAGTCATTGTGCAAGCAGCACCCATCAACACCCTTTAATGGAGATATGAAATCATCCTTGGATGACTCCACTAATTCAAACAACACTTTTTTGAACTGATGGGTAATATTGGGCCCTTGGCAACAAAATTAAAAACATCTCCTGCTTGTTCTCCAATTATGAAAAAAAACTGCTATCTTGGCATCTATAGTTAGTTTGCAACTTACCTACAGTATAGTGGCAGTTTTACTGATCATCTTTCTGACAGACTCTTCCAATCTCTTGGCCAAAATACTTGTTTTCTTATACATAACTTCATTTGCTGAAATGTGAGCAAGCAAGGCTTGGGCATGTCCCATTCTTTTAAGGTGAAAGTGGGTCTTGGTCTGTTTTAAAGTACTAAGTTATGTAATTTGGTAAAGTTTATTATACCGTTGTGTCAATTAAAGTTAACAATTAATGTAAACTATGAAAAGTCAACTTGAATGTGTATTGCAGAATTAAAGCAACGCACAACTGTTAGGAGCACATTCAATTATGTATGGCTAGAATTTAAGCTGGCTACTTTCTTAACTTTGTTTCATTGTATTACACATACAATTCAAGAAAGGTGTAAAGTAATATTGTTCATTCTGTATGTATGTGCATAACATCTCATTCCATTCTACACTTGTATTTGGAATGAAATACACCCAGTTGTGTCACCATCTCAATTGGTATGTATTATAATAATGTAATAATAATACTATATAACGATGCAAACAGAGTAGCCCTACCACTGTTAAAAAAAAACAATGTCTTATGAAGAAAAAAAAATACTGATAATTAATTACACTGGATTTTTACAAGAGTCATTTTTGATTCTATAAGAACCTTGAAATATTGGTAAAAAACAACTTATCATTTGCAGTCTAGCATGCACTAGTTTATTAGTCCTCTTATTTATACTACAAAAAAGTGGGCTTTCTACAAACAAAATGTTCATTAAATGAAAATCTCTACAGTGAGTTTGAATATCGACCGAAAAATAATACTAAATTATGTAATCTTGATGTGATGAAAAACAGGAATGGATGATCGGCAACGAAGAGTTGATCTTGTGATGGAGCCATTACTAGACAACATCCAAATGCCACCAAAGCTGTACAGTACATAACATTGTTGTTGCCGTTTTAACTACTGTTCAAAACAACATTGAACCATTTATAAGATCTATGTAAAAAAATTGACCTTTTAAAGGTAAAATACTACCAGACTGTCAATTAATATAAAATGTAGAAAATTCCTAGAAATATTATAAATTTGCATTTCCCGTACTTGATTTCATTGGAAAATGTGTTAGGTAAATAAATAAGGTCCTTTTACTCTTAGATCCATTTCTTAAATAGTAACTACAGTAGTTAACTTTACAATGCATAAGTTTGTTGCAATATGGAATATCCAAATTGTAATAAATTGTTTTCGTGATAGGTTTTAATGAAACGGTATTGCTAAAAGAGAATGTTGGTCTGTGATATTTGCCAAGTTTGATAAAAATATATCCATAAACAAGCAAACCACAACATTTTACAATATTCTCCATAGGGATAACATAGGAATTTTAAAATTACATTTTTTTACATTTTCTCCGTAACTAATAACCGTACAAAAACACTTTGATATACTGAACTATTAGTTTTTCAAGCTCTTTATTTAATGCTCCGTTTTTAGATCTAGAGAGAAATTGGGAAATGTTGTGTTTTTACAGTTAAAATGAAAAAAAAAAACATTTTTTACCCCATAACCCCCTGTAAAAACCCCCGTTCCCATGACCCGACCATGCTGGTTTGCAAACTCATCCAAGTTTATCCCGCATTACACCTTCAAACCAAATTTCATTACAATCGAACAAAAATTACTCAAGTTATCAAACACATTATATATAACTCAAATGATGTTATTGGCCTCTGGGGACATCAAAATGAAAAAGTAAATCGGTCCAGGGCCTAGGACTTATCATGCCAAGAACGATAATAGCTACTTCCCTAGAGGGAAATTTGCTAAAAAGAGCTGGTATTAGGTTCAAACTAGCTTACTCCACTATGACGGAAGCTATTTGGAAACTCTCATATCAGAGTATGAATCTGGTTATTTCAGTTATTACAACAACCAAATGGTTAATTTATTTTTGCTGGTTCATAACAGTTAGTGCTTGTTAGGATGAATTTTCATGACAAAACAGATTCAGCAAAAATGACACGGTATACATAAGTTACACTATCAATAGTTATAATTAGTGTGTGAAGTGAAGGCAATTTGCACTCGTTTTACACATTATATTTTCCAACAGTTATTATACAGCATGAAAATAATTATACTCCGCGCGCGATAACTTTTCACTTGGGGGGTCCGCGGAATTGGCTAACTCTGGAACTCGCTAACCCCATGTTAAACGCCCTATCTTCAAATTTGGTCGATGAGAGGAACTCGCTAACTTGTTCGGTTTCGGAATTGGCTAACTCCGGAACCCGCTAACCCGCTCTAAAGCCGGGTTAGCGAATTCCGTCCTCGTACGGAAGTCGCTAACTCGGTCCCTCGGCGGAACTCGCTAACTCCCAATCAGAAGCCTCGCGGGCCGTCCAATGGGAGCCAAGCACGAATATTTCTGGCCAGTGTTGCCGAAAGTGTAGTACCTATATCGTATCGGTACCATAATGTCGTATCCTACGATTAATTAGGAGTAAGAGCAACGCAGTCGACCAAATAAATATATTTAGAATGGATGTTTAACATTATTCTTATGATTATTAGGGTGGAAAATGCATTATAGTCTTACCATAGGCTACCAACACATGTAAACTTTACATTCCATTGTAAAATTTGAAGTTCGTTTTTCGTGTCTAGTTCATGTCCAGTGACACTGATCGCTAGTGTCGACAAAATTGTGTTTCTATTATTTTATAGTTAACTTCATGATTTGTTCTTTACTGTTTGGTTATACTGTATAACTAGGGGACGTGTTATTAGTTGTGATTAGAACGTTTTATTTGGTTAAACGAGGTTTTAAATTACTGAAAACAAGAAACAATTGTAAACAAAACACGACCTCTAAAGACAGTGCACCGGACAGAACTAACAATACAAATGTCTTCAGATGATCCATAAGGTTGAGAAATGTACTAATATAAGGGAATATGTTTTATATGTGGGTTTCTTACTTAAATAGTAGCTTATTGGTATGCAAAAAGATAAAAATGCACATTTAATTTGGATATATGTTATGAAATATCTATTTTCTTAGTCCGCCATTTGTTTCTTTTATTCGAATAAATACCATTTTGTGAACTTCTGCAAATAAAATTATTGAGTTCGTATTTTATATACTGGGCTTGTAACCTTAAATCATAAATCATAATAAAACGTTAAACGTCATTACAGAATTACATTGTAGTGGTAATGTATTTTTAAATAGAGCTATTGAATTTAAATATTTATCAATACATTATAAAGTGGTAGGCCTAATGTATTCATGGATTGCATTAAAAGTTAGTCTATGCATAAATACAACTTGTAAATTTCTTTTATCGTAGGCTATTAGTGTAGAACCCGGGTCATCCTCTTAATTTTGTTGAATTAATATTAATTTTACGTCTTTCAGTAGGCTTACTTTTTATAAGTCTGGAGTTTTTCTCCAGGCTGGTTCTAAATGGACCCAGGCGTTCTTGTTTGTTACAATTCTTATGAATGGTGGCC